CGCTCTTTCTACTATAGAATCTGTATTCAATGTACAACATAATTATGAAAAAATAATCATAGAAACCTATGATTCTGAATAATGTATGTGAAACTTTTGTCAGAAAGATAACACACTACTCACCATTAACCTTAGAACGAAAATTTCCAATAAAATGTTTTGTTCGAAAACTGAATGATAACTATGCTATTTGACTCAGTTTTGTCTGCTAATCTCAAATACGTTATTAGTTTTGCTTGAAAATATAAGGGAAGTGAAAAGGGTGCAAAATAAGTGAAATGGCGAAGGTTAGAGGTGAATGTGTTGTCTTTCTGACAAAAGTTTCACATACATTATTCAGAATCATAGGTTTCTATGATTATTTTTTCATAATTATGTTGTACATTGAATACAGATTCTATAGTAGAAAGAGCGACTTTTAGTTTCTCACCCTTGCTCTTCTACGTATGTTTCAATCATGGGTGCTCGTTCTCAAAGAATTTCCACAATCACATAAGAGTTAACCTTCATACTTTGGCTAGATAATCTACAGACACTGTAGAGTCGTTGGTGCGAATTTGAAGTCAAAATAATGTTCCTGAGTTGTGAATTCATTTTTGCAAAGGATCTCGAATTTTCAACAAGAAATAGCGATTCTCGCCCGTAAAATAAACGAAACGCTCATCTCTCACGAATCATTGTGCAACAGAAGCTCATACTGGTGGAGTAATCAGCATTCGATAAGAGCATTGACCATACAAAATCAGAAGTCCCTAGCTATCATGGTTCTTGAGTTACAGGGGTGTCGCTACTTTTGCGGAGTACTGTATACTAGAGGCAGAACATCGAAAAAGAAAATCGATGTATTTTTGCCCTGAATTTTCTAATATGCTTTTCTGTGGGTTTTCTGAAAAACTCAGGTTTTTGATTGTAGTACATTAAGACCCCTCGAAAACTTCATTCGATCGAGTCTAAAATTTTACTATAGGTAGCTGGGACAATATCTCAAAACGGTAGTTTTACTTTTTCATTTTTAGCTTCTCAGGATATAAAAGAAATGGTAAAAGTTCTAAGTGGAATCTAGGATGTTGGTTTCGAGAATCCGGTAATTCGAAACATAATCAAAAACGAAAACGTAAAATTACCGTTCTGAGATATCGTTCCAGCTACCTGGTATAAAAGTTTGGACCCGATGGAATGAAGTTGTCGAGAGATCGTAGTGTACTCCAATTAAAACTCACTGAAGAGCATGTTAGAAAATTCTGGGTAAAAATACATCGATTCTCTTTTTCGATGTTCTATCTCTAATATAAGTTTGAACATTTTGCTCTTGATTTGCCAAGATGGAAAAAGAAGGAGTAGCTTTCATCTTGGACCAATTTCCGCTTTTTTGAATAAGTATTATAAAAAATTTACCTCCTTAAACATTTAGTTCACAATTTGAACTGTCAAAATCTTTAACTTCTTAAATTGAAAACAAAAACTGTGGAGATTGCTTTCTCGATATGACCATTGAAAATACTTCCGGTGCCGACTCTTAATGCATTTACTCAAGTAAATTTTGTAATATGCACTTTTTCTCAAATATTTTCAGAGATTAATTGGTGGAAGAGTACGCTTTTCGCCTAAGAACACCAAAAGATGCCTTTTTTTCCATTAACTTTCGTATTTATTTGAATATTTTAAAAAGCTCTAAGAAAAAATTTATTGAATTGACGGGAGAAATGAATAAGTTTTAAAAAGCAAGAAGGGTGTACATCCCTTAACACACACTCTTGCACACTGGTTATTTTCAGCAAAAAAACGTCGGCATACTTTAGAGGTCGTTAATTTCTCTCAGTGAGAGTTACTCACCTATCCATCTATTTAAAGTGTATAGACAATAAAATACACGAATTACTGTTAGGTATAATTTTTACATCAGAAAAAAAGTATCACCACAAAACTACTAAATATCTCACCTACTTAATCACATAAAAAATATTGATCTAAATGACCATATGAGCAAAGCATATTAATATTGTTGCTGTGTAAAGCGCTTATTTATTTATCGAATCATGTGCGCATTTTATGGATAATTAACCCTTTAAAAAGACTTTGAAAGAATACAATTTCTTCTATATGTTAAAAATACGCTAAAACGTTGTTTTTTTAAGTGGACCTTCAAAAAAAGGGAGAGACCTTCATTTGGCAATAAGACTAGTTATGCTCATTCTCGTCGCTTTTCGTGCTTACTTAAAAATTCATAGCGCTCCATCGTCTTAGTTTGTAAATAAAACTTTGCTTGACAAAATGAAACAAACATTCAGCTTGCACTCTTCCTAGCATTTCGTTAAGAGAAAATATTCAACTGTGGTTTTTTTGAAGTAAGTTACGAAAGTACGTGCCTCGGTTTCTTCAAATGTCTGCTGCATGAACGACTATGAAGAGTACAAGACAAATGTCTTATTCTGTTAATCAAAGCTTTATCTAAAAATCAAGTCATTGGGAGATTTTGAATATGTTTTCTTGCACAAAGTAAAAAGAGTGCATAATATCCTAAACTGTAATGAATTTTCACATCGGTAACAGAGTTACGGGATGAAGACAACGTTTAATTGTACATAATTGGATTGATGAGTATTGGATCGACACGGAGTGGTACGGGATACTTTCTGATATCACTTCTCAATTTTGATTCTTGTAATTTTCAATTGATGTTTCATGCCGCTTCCATTTTGTAATATCTCTCTTAAAATTGTAAAATATGAAACTGTAATGAGACAGTGTGACTCTCTCCATCAATATGTACAGTATCTTGAGCAACTACATTAGTTTACCGTCTTGATCAAAATCGTATGAACAAAAACTTCTATAAATGAGAGATGATAAACTACGATTGAAAAGAATAAGTTGAATTTAGGAAAAGATTAATTTTGCCCATCAATTTAATTTTGTTTTTACTCAATGATTCTGGAAACTTCTCCTAAAATTTATCGTTAGAAAATGTTCAATAGAGACTATTAATCCCGAAAGATTCTGCAATTTTATTTGAATAGCATACAACCAAATGTTTGTTGACTTCTGACGATAATATATTTAATAACCTCATATGAAACTTACAAGAATTATAAAAAAAAAACTTGTTTGCAATTGTAACAAGATTTATGCTTTCTGTTTGTAAATTTTTTCTTATAATTCAATTTTTATTGAACTAACGTCTTTTTTTCACATATGTCATTCATAAATGAAAAATAAAACCCGAAAAACTTGGAATATTTTCTTTCATCTTACGCGTGGCAGTTAAAATCATAGACATATATATACCATTATTTTACTCTTTTTTTTGCTGTTTATCTCTCACGTTTTGAAGAGAAAAATAAGACTCGTGCAGCTTTATATTTGAAACAAAATGATTTTCGTTTTTCGAACAGAGACAACATATACGCAGGTGTTTTTTTCCTTTTTCTTCTTCTTCTTTGTGTAAATCAGAGGCGGGTGAGGTTTTGCCATCGAGGCGTGATTTACATGTTGTGAGAAATGTAAAGAAAGAAAAAGTTCTAAAATTGTTTTGTTTCTTTTCTTATATGTGTGTATTTTAAAAAAAAAAAATAGTTGAAATTCTTTGTGTTCACCTGTGTATGTATTTCGTGTTTTTTTTTCTTTACTTTAGACGGTGAGTCATTAAATCGGATAAAAATTTTAAACAAAACAGAGAAAGAAAGAAAGAAAGAAGAAAAAAAAAAAGAAAGAAAAAACGTCAACCATGTATAACCAACCAAACGGCTATTCGACCGACTTCGGTGGAGGTGGTGGCGTCTTACCGAACAATCAAATTATTCAACAAAACGAACAGGAAGGTGAACAATTATTAGAAGAAGACGAATTTGGTCGTACTGAAGAAGAATTCGATGAAGATATGCAACGCGAATTAGCTGATGATGCACCATGGAAAAAAATTCAACAAAATACATTTACACGTTGGGCAAATGAACATTTAAAATTAGTTAATAGACATGTTGATGATTTACAAACAGATTTTAGCGATGGTCTAAATTTAATTGCGTTAATTGAAGTATTATCACAAAAAAAATTACCGAAACATAATAGACGGCCGAATTTTCGTTCACAAAAATTAGAAAATGTATCGGTTGTACTCGATTTTCTTGAAAATACGGAACGTATACGTTTAGTCAATATTGGTATGTTATTTAGTTTATTGTACAAATAATAATCTTTTTACGTCTTCTTTTCTCGAGTGCTAGATACAGTTTTTGGGTTTCGTATGATAGAGTTGATTACAGGAGACTTAATTTATCCCGAGAAACAGGCAATAGTATTTTGTTCTGGAAAATATTTTGAGAGAAAACTGTAGCTTTTAGTGCACTTACTTTATTTTACAACTTTCTCTCCAACTGGTATCGTTTTCCATTCTCTAAATCGGAAACGAAATTCACTATAAAGTTTTAACAGTTGTCAACTAGGTTTCATTATTAGAGACGATGAAATGGTATAGTTATCAGTTTATAAAATATGATGATTATAAATAATCATAAAATTAAGTTATACTTAGATTTTTATGCATATGCACAACTTTTAATGCTAGGTATTTCTTGTAATGTAGATCATTTGATGTCGTCACATTTTGCATTGCACACAAACACGTACTCTTCGAACTAATTCTTTTTTTTTCTTGAGCGAGTCATTAGTAAGAATTTTTTCATACATTGTTTTAAATTAATAATAAAAAGATTAGGCTCTAAACTATTTTGATGAAAGACATACATATGCACATATAAATGTTAGTATTTTATCACGTAGAATTTTTTGTTTAAAACAAAAAAAAGGTTGCAACACGTGTTATTAAGACGTTTACTTTATTTTTATTTTTATATTATATTAGTGCTCATACTTTATTCAGAGTTTTGATATTGAAATTTAGTAGAGCATGACATTGAAAAATCCTACGACTGTTATAACATATCTGTGAGTGAAAGTTCAATTGTTAGTTTGTTAATTAGCTTATCTTTATACTAAAATAGTTCATTTCTTATGGTTTAATCAAACAATATAATCACGATACTATTCTTTGAAGGAGTGCTCAATCCGTAAAAGAATTTCAAGGTATTCTAGAGTTGTATAGTCATGAATTTTTCTTTATGTTGATATTTTAATTCAATATATGATTGAGTTTTACAGCTGTCACACATTCATTTAAAAAAAAAGAAGAATCTATGTTAAAAACGCATCATTCAAGCAAAAAAAAAAAAATCAAAATGAACTCTTTGTCAATGATGTGTAAATAACAGTGCTTAATATTTGTTTGCGTATGTTTTGTTTTGTTGCAATGAAGGAATGAGCATATAAATAGGATTTTTGTGTAGAAAAGAAATTTTAAACTGTAGTTTATACTATCAGATAAAGAATAACGATCATCAAACATTTATCCCTTTATATATATATATATAAAATGGACTGTATGTACAAATGGACTGTATGATAGAACAATTAAACGTGCAAAACATTTTTAATCGTATTTTTTTTAATGTCTACTGCACATACGAATGACCACGAGCAATGAACAGGTGGAACAGACACACCAAAGTGAAACTGAATAAGATACTTGAAATCAAGTAGCCTCAATATAAATAATAATAGTTTATTATAATCGTTGTTACGCACTATAAATAAAAAAAAAAAAATCATGTATAAATAATAATTGTTTGACTGAACGAGTTAAAGCTAATAATGATTGATAGAACGATTTTGGAAATATAAGCTAAATACTCTATATATCATTGAATTATTCAAAGATTTTAAAATTAGAGCAAAGTATTAAAATCATTAACAAGCTCATTACCAATACATGTAATGACTATTCATGTCAAATATAGTAATTTGACTTTTTTCTTTAATTAGATGCGACACATATTGTTGATGGTAAATTAAAATTAATCCTCGGTTTAATATGGACACTTATTCTACATTATTCTATTTCGTTGCCCATGTGGGAATTCGAACAACCCGATGGACAAAATCAAGGAAGAGATGCAACACCAAAACAAAAATTAATGAATTGGGTGCAAGGAAAATTACCACCCGAATTACCTATCACAAATTTTACATCAGACTGGAATGATGGACGTGCAATTGGTGCTTTAGTTGATGCATGTGCACCCGGTCTTTATCCTGATTGGGCTGATCGTGATCCAAGAAATGCTTTAGCCAATGCTAAAGAAGCGATGGATTTAGCCGAGCAATGGCTTGGTATTCCTCAAGTATGTTTTGTCTTTTGGAACTATTAATATTCAAATGAATTTATTTCAATGTTCACGCTATTTTTGTTATTTTAGCTTATTCAACCACAAGAAATGATTAATCCAAAAGTTGATGAACAATCAATGATGACATACCTATCACAGTATCCTAGTGCAAAATTGAAACCTGGAGCACCCGTTAAACCAAAAACAAATTCAGCTCGTGTGAGATGTTATGGAAAAGGTATCGGTTACGTCGTTTTCTTAACTATATATTAGTACTTTGTGAAAAGAAGAGAGAACAATAGAAAAGGAGAAAAAAAACGTTGAGCCAGCTGCAGCTGATACCATTTGACTGTATTAACATAAAAAATTTATGTATGACCAAACTTTTTTCTTCATGGTCATCGGTCGTTTTTTTTTTGAATAAAAAAAGAACAATGGATAGGAATCTTTAAATAAACGTCATTCTGATTTAAGCAACAAAAAAATGAATACGGTTGTTGATAGTACTAAAACTTACACATTTCAAAGACACGTTAAAAAATCTAAACATGTTGAAGAAGAAAAATGGTTTGAACGTATTCATCGTACGCTTATACATTTCTGTGTTTAAAATTAAGATCAATTTAGCTTTTGTTTCTTCCAGGTATCGAACCAACAGGCAACAATGTCGATGCTCCAGCCAAATTTCATGTGGAAACATTTGCTGCTGGTAAAGGAAACGTCGATGTTATTGTTATTAATCCAAAAGGACAAAAAGAAAAAGTAATAATTTTTTGAGTATTGTATTAACAATGGTATCACTAATTTTGTAATATTTTAGTGTGATATTGAATTTCGAAATGATAAAAATCAAACATACGATTGTACATATTATCCAACAATGGAGGGCCAATACAAAGTAAAAATTTAATGTCGTAATCGAGACTTGAAATTATTTTTATGTGTTTTCTAGGTCATTGTCAAATTTGCTGGACAAGAAGTGCCAAAATCTCCATTTTCACCCTATATTGAAGGAAAATCAGGTGATGCAAGTCAATGCAAAGTTCATGGGCCAGGGTTAGAGCCAACAGGTGTCATGGTAGATAAACCTACATGGTTTGAAGTAGACGCAACGAGTAAGTCAGTTTATCGGCAGTATTGGTATTTTATTTGTTTTTTATCTTCATCGCGATATTGATGAACGTTTATTATCTATTTAAATATGTTTACAGTCATTGCACGATGATATCAGTCAAAAAAGTTCTCTTAAAAATGCTAATTTTCCTCTGCTTTGGGATATGTATTATACACCTAGCGCTTATATTGCAGGATGCCAACAACGCTTTGGGCAATACTTTCTTCCATCGGATATGCGTAAGAGTGCATGATGATCTAGTACTTTTTTTTTGAAAATACAATACAAAAACAGCATGAGTAGTTGATGTCTGGCATAAAAAATTCGTAGTTGAATTTTTCGTTGTGAGAAAGATAATTATTACTAACAGTAGAATATCATCATGGTTATAAAGGTCTATGCTCTAATCGATCATGAAGTTGCACTCACACATACACACACTTTAAGCATGAATAGCAGAATTAATAGGGATATGGTATTCTCGTCCTAAGTTCTTACGATTTTTCTAATATTTATTTTAATATAGATGCTGGTAATGGTCTTGTTGAAGTTGTATTAATTGATCCACGAGGACGCCAAGACGTTGTACCAATATCCGTTAAACCATTGGGCAATGGAAAATTTCGTTGTGAATACGTTGCTCGAGAGCCCGGTTTGCATTCGGTGAACATATTTTTTGCTGGTAAACCAATTCCTCAAAGTCCTTATGGTGTTAATGTTTCATCTTGTAAGTACTCTTGAGTAAACAAAGTATAACTATAATTGTTTTAAAATGAACAAACATATTTCAGCATCTTCTATTTCTTCGTCATTGTCATCGGTAGTTTTGGAGCATAACTATCAGTCTGTACCGATAAGTTCCCTAGATCTTTCAATTAAACCGAAATGGAATTATGATTCAGGATACGGTGATTTATTTGATAAGCAGAATCCTCAGTCATTTGTTTGTGGAGGTACACCACATCCCGTAAGGCATACTGATCACCTTGGTCGTCATCATGCGATAAAAGACCATAGTTTAACACCACGATCGGAACTACAGAGTCCATTTGAACCAATTCGAGTTGTAACAATGACACCGATTGTTCCACTCGATATAACTGAACATAAAAATACTAATTTCGGATTTGAGCAAGAAAAGGAATCAACATTGACAAACAGTGATCGTCAAAATATCGTATCTGAAAATGATAGTGAACATACATACAACGATTCGTTAAATAGCGAGAAATCATTTGTATCAAATAGAAATAGTAGTTATGCTCCAACTACATTGAGTGTGAATAGTCAATATTATATTGTCGATAAAGGTATCTTTTGATGAAAAGTGTACTAAAGGTGTTGGAAATTTATAAGTTTTTATTAGCAAGAAATTAGAAACAGGCATACATGAGAAATATTTTCGTATCATTTTCTAAGTTATGGTCGTTCTTATTCAATCGCTTGCTCATCGGCTCACAAACATTTTCATTTATTGTTTATGTTGCAGTTAGCTTTTACGCTTTTTAGAATATATTTATTAGCAGAATTAAAATCAATTTTTTTTAAAAATATTTTTTTTAGCAAGTGATGCCAAAAAATGCAGAGCCTTTGGTCGAGGTATTCAACCGAAAGGTGTACGAACGGGTGATGTTGCCGAATTTCGTGTTGTTACCAAAGATGCGGGAGAAGGCGCTATGAAAGCAACTGTTATTGGACCTGGTAAAAAAAAGAAATATTAAAACTAATATTTACATCTAGCAAATCACTTTCTTAAATTTTAGACAACAATGAAATTCCTTGCCGTGTTACAAAAGCTAATAATACAACATATGAATGTGGTTACGTACCTAATCGTGTTGGTCCTCATACAGTGAATATAACATATGGTGGAGCTCATATACCGAAAAGTCCATTTCCTGTTTATGTGGGACCGTATAAAGACTCTCGAATTAGAGCATATGGACCTGGCCTTGAAGGAGGAGTTGTAGGCTTTCCAGCCGATTTCATGGTTGAAACAAATGGAGAAACTGGATCTTTGGGTATGTGAAATTTTCTTCTCCAAGTTAGTTAAACTGTGTCAAATTAAACTAATAAATATTCTTTCTTCATAGGCGATATTAGTAAGTTTCTTTTAAGAATAATATCCCTATTTGTGCGGTGGATTAAGCATGATTGATTGAGAAAGGACCTCATCTTTTGGCATGATTCTTTCAGTTTGTTTGGTTGCACTGTTGTCTCTTTTACAAATAAACCTGACAAAGATTTTGAAATCAATGATTAAAATATTATTTTATTTTTGTAGGCTTTTCTATCGAGGGACCATCACAAGCTCGAATTGAGTGTCACGATAATGGTGATGGTTCAGCTAAGGTGAGATACTGGCCGACAATTCCAGGTGAATACGCCATACATATTCTTTGCAATGATGAAGATATACCAAACAGTCCATTTATGGCTTGGATTGAACCACCTGGAAATTTTGATCCAACTAAAGTATGCATGTGTGTGTATATGTCAAAGGTAAAGTGTCGTTCACTATCTCTAATGTATTTAGGTAAAAGCTTTTGGTCCTGGAATTGAACCATCAGGTCAAATTATTGGTAAACCAACCGAATTCACTGTCGATACTCATAGCGCTGGAGAAGCTCCATTACGTGTTCAAGCAATTGATCAAGAATATCAGCCGGTGGATGTGCAAGTTATGAATAATGGAAATGGAACATTCAAATGCAAATATACACCACGTCACCCTATACGTCACAGTATTATGGTCGATTATGGCGGTGTAGCCATTCCGAACAGCCCATTTAAAGTAAATGTTTTGTTTCCTTTATTTCTCAAATAAGTTTTCATTAATTACATTTCTTGACTTTTGTTTCAGGTTTGGCCTACAGAGCCGTCAAATCCATCTAAAGTTAAAGTATATGGTCCAGGTGTAGAAAGAGGTGTAAAAATGAATATTCCAACACATTTTACAGTCGATTGTAAAGAAGCTGGTCCAGGTAGGATATTTATTTTTTGAACTGACTTCACCTAAGAAATAAAAACTTACTCACAAAATTTTATTCGATTAACTTTCTACTAACATCCGTTTTTTCAAACACAAATGCACGTTTTACTCTTCTTTGCATGTTGCATGTGTGTGTGTTTTACTTCAGACATTTCTGCTTCTGCAATTATCTTACCAAATTATTCCTATACTTATAACCACAATATTGATGATGCTGCTCATAATAATTTTAAAAACACACAATATCGTCGATTTCATTCTATTGATACATTAGATGATGATAACTATGATCATATTATCCCATATAAGTTACAAATAATTAATGAAAATGGACAAAATTGTCCATATACAATTGACTCTAATCAAAATGATACAATGAATGTAACTTATACACCCAATACACATTTTGTTATTATTAGTCTTTCTGTGTTATGGTAGATCTCATAGATGTGAGTTACTTCCAATTGCTGCTTATTTGTATTCGTTTTGATATTGCTTATTTTCTAATATTATTCACAAATCAAGTAATAATAATGCTTTATTCTTATTTAATGTGCAATAGATTAGCATAAGAAAGGATAATATTGAATTAAATTTGTCCTCTCGCTGTCTCTTTTAACGAGATTTTCTAAGAAGGTGAATAAAACAATCTTCTTGATTCTATTTTATGCACAGAAAGCATCGATTTTCATGAAACTTAATTAATGATGCTTTGCTTTAGTAGATTGTTTGCTACTGCATGCTTGTTTTGTTGTTGTTGTTTTTTTTTGCTGCTATTAGTGTAGCTAGCTTGACTTATGTTGTTATTATTCATTTGTTTATTCTTCATATTAAATAAAATATTTTAAAGCAACTAACAAACTAGATAATATTCACTAGTATATAAGGTTAGAAAAGTCAACATTTTAAATGATTTGATATATACTTGTTTATCTTAGCAAGAGCGTAAAAAATGCAAAAAAAAAAGTTAATTTACGTTTGCTTCTAATGAAACTTGTGTTGGATTTGATGCACACTAGCGCACTGATGTACTATATATTAACAAACTAGTTTTTTCAAATTAACCTAATCCGACGAATTCAGAGAGACAATAATCATTAGTTTAATTTCGTTCATATTATCAGCTTTGATGAAGTCAAATTGAAGTCAAATTTTATCATTTAATACTGACGGAATATATTTTATGACATTTGTAAACCTATCATTGTATATCTATTTCTAGGTGATATTAGTATTGCATTAACTGATACACGAAATCAAGATGTCCCATTCACTATTGATGATAATCAAGATGGAACATTTACAATATCGTATACACCAAAATTACCCGGTCTTCATTGTATTAGCGTATTATTTGGTGAAAGTGAAATACCGATATCACCGATTAAAGTTAATGTTGAACCGAGTATCGATGTTGATAAAATTCGTGTTGAAGGTCTTGATACAAGTAAGTAATTAGTTATTGTTTATTATTTAAATTAAATCTTTGATCTATTAAATAGAATAGATCCTTCAAAGTTATGTGTGATTTGTTGATGTTTTTTTCACTATTTCTTTTCTTAATGGTGTTTTTTGTGATTTCGAATACACCACAACCTTCGTCCATATATTTTTCTATAGTACCGATTGTTGGGCAACCAGCACAGTTAACATTAAATACACAAGCAGCCGGTCCTCTTCCTCCAAACGCGGTTAAAGGACGTATAAAAAATCCTTCGGGTAATTTTCAAGATGCAATTGTTACTCCAGCCCACAACGGTTATAATTTGCGTTTTAATGTTCCGGAGCCGGGACAGTATGTTGTTGAACCAGAAGTGTGCAGTTTACCATTACATCCGATAATATTAACGGCTGTTGAACCATTAGATCCTAGTAAAGTGAGAGCATTTGGTCCTGGACTAAGTCAAGGAACTGTGAATAAACCAGCGGATTTTATTGTTGATACAAAAAATGCTGGCAATGGACAATTAGGTGTTACAGGTAGAAATAAAAAATATAAGAATGAAGAAAAGAATTGAAAATGAATCAAATTTCATTTATCCTTTTATTCTCTATCTCACAGTCGAAGGACCATCTGAATCAAAAATTGATTATCAAGATAACAATGATGGCTCTTGTCGTGTTACCTATCATCCAACAGGTATCCAGAACGTATAAAATCAAAGATAATTTGAAAATATAATTAAATCATACTCATTGTCCATTTTTACAGTGGCCGGCAATTACAATATCAATATATTATATGAAGGAAAACATATACCTGGTTCACCTTTTCGTGCAGCTGTTAGACCCGATTTAGATACGAGAGGAATTCTTTGTTATGGTCCAGGATTAGATAAAAAGGGTAAACATAAAATGCAACTTTTTGACAACACATTATCATTATCCATAATAATATCAATAATAAAATAATTTTTTATTAAATATTTTGCATTGAGTTCATTCTTTTATCTTATATTTTTCCATTCGTAGTTTGATTATTTATATACTCTGTATGTATTTATTCTATATTATTATTCTACCGTATTTTTATCATTCCCTTTCAAACAATACCCCAGAATATCTCTTTGCACGTTCTTCCCTCGTATATTTTCATAGCACTTAGTCCTTAGATAGTTTTGTTAGAAAAGTATTTTGTTCAAATTAGAACACATTACCTACCTATCTCACTAAAAATCTTTGATCATACCAAAAAAACATACATAGAACATACAAAATGGATAAGAGATAGTAGAAAGTTATCAAAGATTATAACTCTGATCACGAGTACAACTGATATTTTATTCGAGATTTGAAATCTTCTAATCTTTCCTTTCAAATGAGACTTACTCTTATGCGTGTCGAATTTTCATATTATTGAACTCCTACGGACATACTTTTTCTTTAAAATGATTTGAATTTTTTATCGGTTTGATGGGTGTATATACAAATATCAGATATTAATTTTAAATCCGAATAGGTTTTGTTTTTTTTTGCTTATTTAATTTATAAAAACTGGTAAAGGACATCGAATTACTAATATATCACACAAATATGTAATGGATAATTTAATTAAACTAATTAATTACCCACAATACTCACTTAGAAAGAAATAGAACAAAAATAAATTGAAATATACAATTATATTTATCTGTTTTCAGTTGATGATAATGATGATCGATATTCAAGAGCTAGCACTGCAACAAACCACAATTATCGTCATTCGTCTAGTCATGATCATGAACGAAAATCTTTTATATCTAGTGGAAGTACACTATCATCCTTAATAGGTCATACACCACTTGATCCTTACACATCTTCCAAATCTTTAAATTCAGGTATTTATCGAGAGAAGACACACAACAAAATATAACAGATATAGTAGATAGTCTGATATCTCTTTCAGTGACAAATAGTTATAATCGAAATACGAGTATTAGTAAAGCAACTAAAATTTCTAAAGGTACACTTCTAAAATGCTTAAACACAACACTAACATCTATGCCATTTTAAATGTTGCCTGTTGCTTCTAATTGACAACATTATATCTGAAGATAAATAACAATCACAATTCTATATTATTAGATAATAGTTTAATCATTTTAAATATAATCATGTAGGACTAAATCATTTAATAACAAAAATATGTTAAGTTATTATATTATACTAAATTTTAATTTTTTTTATTGGAAAAGCAGAATGGTTCAATATGGAATAACATAGTTATCATTTGACTTTTGTTTAATATAAGTAGTTTTTAGATCAATTTTATTCAAGGAAATACAACTATTTTTTTATTTATCCACAGAATATCTGTTTATTGTTTAAACGCTTGAAAAACTATGAATGCTTTTTCTAGCCTTTTACTCATCGACAATGGTTATGTGTATACTGCTTGCGCTTAGCATTTGTTGTTTTTAACTAGCATGGCTTAGTTATGTATTTTCAATTGTATTTAGTCACTTTTTTTGTCTATTTAAAATTTGAAAAACCTAATCTTTTGATGTCATCTCTTTTAGGAGTATTTTTGGAATCACCGACAGAATTTACGGTTGATGCTCGTTCAGTAACTGGTTCTGGAACAGGAAAAGTTGAATGTTTATTAACATCGCCGAGTGGTCGAGTAGTACGATGTCCAGTAAAAAATATTGGTGATGGGACGTATCAAGTTCAATATGCACCGTATGAAGCTGGTAAGAATATATTTTTGATGAAAAATATGATAAAGTGCTTATCTAATTATTGTTATTTTAAGGAATGCACCAGTTGGATGTGACTTACGAAAATATTCCAGTACCTGGTAGTCCATTTCGTATTAGCGCTATACCTGGATGTGATCCAACGCGTGTACGAGCTTATGGTCCAGGTATTTGTTTTCTCTTCTTTATAGCCCTTAAAATTTATATTTTCTCTATGTTAAGGTCTCGAAAATGCAACAACAAATGAAGCCACAACGTTTACAATTGAAACAAAAGGTGCTGGTCAAGGTAGCCTTGGTTTGGCAATCGAAGGTCCAAGTGGTATGAAATATTCCTTTCATGTTTTATTGAGAATGATTCATCTCATTTTCTTGTTTCAGAAGCCAAAATGATTTGTCGAGATAATCAAGACGGTACATGTATTATGGAATATCTTCCCGTATGTATTTCAAATAGCACGTAAAATTCTCTTGTCTGTAATGTCATCATTATAGACAAAATCTGGCCAATACGACATTGCAATTAAATTTGCTGAACAACACGTACCCGGTATATATTTTTTACCTATAATTAAAATTGTTTAGATGTATAAAGAAATAATTGTTTTAGGCTCTCCATTTCGTGTTAACGTACGTGATCGATTAGACGCAAATAAAGTTAATGTTAAAATGCCTCAAACAATGCGAGCTAATTCACAACAAGAAATTTTAATCGATGGACAAGCTGCAGGGCCAGGAAGTCCGACTGTTGATATAACAGATGTTCATGGTAAGTTAAAGAAATTGAATAACAAACATGTTTTACGGTGAATAAAAAACTATCTAAATAATACGTATCAATACGTAATAGTAAAAAACAACATAATTTTCTTAAGAAAGCATTCTAATTGTCTTGGAATTTTTTACTACCTATTCCCTTGAAAAATGGCACATACCAAGAAAAATCGTTCTTTGTTTTTTCTATTATTGATTTATCTATAAGTAAGCGTTCTCTCAAACATGAAATAAGTTTTAGTCGAAGAAAAACAATGCTTTACGCCGATACTATGTTTCGTAAATTCTTTGTTTCTAGAAAAACGAAGACCCGTGATTATGGCTTTGTTTTGTAAGCCTGACTTGCCATGACCAACGTTTGGAGAAAATATGAGCTTTCTAGCTGTTAAACAAATCTTTTCTAGTAAAGAATGAGTGTAGTCGTAATCTCGAAGATGCGTAATGTTTTGTTTTCTTAATATGTCTTCTGTATTGTCTCGCATTCTCGATATAGATATTTCATGTGAAATGCGTCTACTCCTGTCAGACTTTATTTCCTTATTTGATATAGCACGAATCGGATATTAGTTTCTATAGCTTTCAGATAATATAATGATTGTTATATAGGTCTATGATATATTTCATAATACATTATTTAATAGAAACTGGTTAGAAAAACTAGACAATAGAGGAAGAAAATGTAGATAGTGGTCTGGATAAAGGCAAGAGAAATCTACCTGTATTGTTTTTTGATTTTATTGTTTGAGGGGGAGGTACTAAACAGGCAGAAAAATGATATATTTCACTATTTTCTTCAATAAGAGTCTAGAGGATCTGAAAACCTGAATTCGGTACGTGTGCGTTTGTTTGTGATCTGAACGATGTAAATCGGTAGAGCTTGAATTTATTTTTCTGTGAACTGAAACACTCTTCAGTCAAGAGATCGACTGAATCGGTATTTTGATGAGCACTAATTGTAAGCAAAAAATCTTTTTATTTTACGTTTTTAACGTTTTCTGAGCTTTTTTCCAAAAATTCTATTCTCTATCAAACTTTTTGAAAGTCTCCACTACAAAACCTGAAATAACGTGATAAAAAAAGAAAGCCGCTGTTAAGTGTTCAAATTTATAGTAATTGCTTATTTCAAGCATCAATGAAATATTAGAGATTTATCAACACACACAATATTTAATTTTGTTCTAATATGATCCTATCTGCAGCATTCAAACAATTGTTACTAATATAAAGATCGGATTATAAACATATATACACTGCACAGTCGTAACACTCATGACTAAAAAAAATCAGAGGAAAAAGGTAGTATGAAGGAGGAAAAACACAAAAAAAAGAAAATTTAGAGAAAGAAATTGGTTATGTGGTTTTCGTTCTTTTATATAACGCAATCATTTTTTTTTTGACATATTCAGGGTTAAAAACGAGACTCAATTAAGTAATAATCGGTGAGTTGAAAATTAGTAAGATAGCGAGAGACGCAATTAGAATTTTTAGATTTTTGGGCCATTCTCGATAGAGCTAAAAAAATCAATGGGTCCAGGTGGGCCATGTTTTAGACTAGTGCCATTTCTCATACTAACGTTTTTCCTGCTCCTCTTCAGCAACAAGAAGATCGAAAAATCGAAACACAAAATATTTTTAGCAACAATGTACAAGTTTGTTGAAGCATACAAAGGACGTTTTGATTTTGTGAAAAAATAGTAAAAATAGTTTTTGATGGTGAAAATGGCAAAATACTGCTACTTTATCGCTAGTTTTTCTTATTTTTCAAAACTTTCGCCATATCCGCAAGCCTTTATGGTCTTTTCGTCAACCTAGTTTTGTAGAACTTTTCGAACACTATCAATTCTATCAAGAATTGTTTGTCTTTGAAGCCTTGTTGATCTTCAAATGATTAAAATTTGTGTTCGAAAACGAAGTGGAAAAAGTTCAAGATTACTGAACCAATAATAGAAAGGACGAACAGCTGTTTTAGGTTTGAATGAAAAGTAGATATTAGTCAGTCAATAACTAGTTGCTACGATGTAAGGCAAGCTCACGGACGCTACGCATGACATGTGCAACAAATAATGATCATTAACATAGGTTATAAAGAACATCCGCAGTTAAGAAAAGCTTTGACTGAAGGACTCTTATATGTATGATTGCACAGAATAGACATTGCTCTATACTTAGTTTTTAGTCTACGAGCTGATGATTCCACTAATTCTATCACGTTCGTCGCATTTTAACATTCCCAGGTCGATCGTTCCGGTCGCCGGAGGCGTCGCGGAACCGACCGGTTTCGTTGCATTGCGTCGTCGTTCCAATCGTTTCCTTTATGTTCCGGCGTGTTCCTACCACCGGATTCCGTCGGATTTCCGGCTCGTAAAATTTCGACGACTTTTTCGACTGAAACGTCGGAAACAGAGCGAAACCTGCTGCAAGAACAGTCAGCCAGAATCCGGTTGCAAGGAACAATTAAAGGGTTATTAAGAAACAAATTAGAGGGACCGGTCGGGCAAGAATGGCCTGGGCTACGTTATCAGAATTTTTTCACACGAAAAACGGCCAGAGGTTTAAGGTTTACTATTATAAATCTTATACTGAAAAATAATGATTTTTCCAAAAAGTCGATAAAACACAAATTTCTTCATTAAAAAGTTTTTTTTAAAATTTACATTTTTCGGAAAAAATCTATTTTTCTTCAAAAATTGCTGTATCCAGAAATTGTTTATAATGTGTCTGATAAAGAATTTAATTCTGCATAAAATCAGATTAAATAAACCTTAAATGTTTGACCTTTCTTCGTCAAGGAAAAAAGAATAAGAACACGATAATTTACTCTTGATTCGCATCTTGCTTTCGTGTCATTTCTTGTTTACGACAAATATTCGTCCAGAATTAGTAATCAAAAAATTTTTCTATTGAGACGAGGCTCTTCAAGAGCTAAACACTATATTCATCGTTTGAAGTATTTTAAGTTAGGATGTCTATTGGAAGCTTGAATCACTCACTGCTCAAACTGTTAGAAAAATAACTATTTCTAAGATGGTAGAGCCATAATCAGAAGAGTACAAGAAAATATAGAACTTATGTAATCACTAACAAAAACGAAATAGATGTAAACTATAAGAAACAGTCATGATTTTAAATTATTGATTAAGACTCTTTGTAATAACATACGTCAAGTATATGAGAGAAGAAATGCATCACAGCAAGAAGAACATACTTGATTTCACAAGTTTTCGACCTTCACCTATTCTAAATGTAAAAAAAGTCCACTAAAAGATATTTTTAAATGTTTTAAATGTTGAAAATCGATGGTCAGCTTCATCTATCGCACGTGTTATGCATTATCGAATGTAAAAAAAAAGTTAGTTTTCTCTGCGCATCTCTTCTAACGTTAAAGAAATCTTCACTTTTTTTTTCAAATACTGATAAGCTTAAAGCCAATACTTATAAGTCTGATATGCTTTTAAGAGCGTAAAGAAAAAGAGGAAGAAAAACACAAATTCCCTAAGAATAATCACGCACATACATATTTTTTTTCCTTCTGTTTCGTCTGATTTTAATTTAAATCATTGATAAAGAAGCATCACCTTTTGTGTTAATAGAACGTGTTTGAATAGGTTATGAGTAGGTAAGAGCCATATTAGACGATTATTTTTACACATCATTTAGATATGGTCTTAATTTGTATCTTTTTTTTTCTTTTAAAAAAAAGGTCGACGTAAACCTGCAAATATTAGACCTCGTGGTGAAGGTATTTATGTAGCTGAATTTACACCAGCAACAGAAGGACAGCATCGTGTTGATATATCATGGAGTGATAATCCAATACCACGGAGGTTGGTGATCGTGAGAAAGAGTACTGTGACTATTGAAAAATTGAGTCATCTTTCACCTTTTTTTAGCCCATACAACGTTCAAATATTGCCACATTTCGAACCACATAAAGTTATTGTTGACGGTCCAGGCATTCGAAGTGGTGTACCAGCATCCTTACCTACCAATTTTCGTATTGATACAAGAGAAGCTGGTTTTGAACATCTTGATATTTTAATTAAAGTATGTGTAAATTTGTTAGTTTAAGTTTCGTCATACATCTCTTAACTGTACATTAAATACAACGATACTTTAGCAACTAGTTTCCTCTTTCAGCAAAAATTCAGGATCAAGTACTTTTAGAAAATTCTATATTGAACAACATAATAGACTACCGAGGAAAATAACTGTATTTTTTTTTGTTTCTTCCACTTTCTTTTGTATATTCTAGAATCCTGAAGGTCTACTTGTTCCAAATAAAATAATTGACAATAAAGATGGTACCTATGGCGTACATTATCGTCCAGAAGATGTTGGACGGTACACAATCAACGTTAACTACGGTGGAATACCCGTCAATAATTCACCGTTTAACGTAAAAGTGGACCCAATCGGGGATCCATCGAAGTGTCATATTTCTGGTAGATTATAATTTATCACTAATGATATTTTCAATGTTATTTGCTTTGTTTTGTTACAGGTCCTGGGATCAGTCCACATATTCAAGTTGGTGAAGAGTACACAATTACAGTGGATACGCACGAAGCTGGACCAGGTGCCGTCACGTGTCGCATCCGTAGTACACATGGAAACGATTTAGATATTGACATAGTTGATAACCAAGATGGTACATTCAATATATTTTATACACCGCATAATCCGGGAAATTATACGATCAAAATTAAATTTGGTGGACAAGATATTCCTGGTGGCGATCTTATGGTCACGGTGAGTGTCTAAATCTGATGCCGTTGAACAGACAATATGAACACTAACTAATTGCTTTTTCTTTCTCCTATTTATTACCGTTAGATAGTTGCTCAGTTAGAGCAATTTTAATTGTTTTTCGTAGAAAAATTCTCATTAATGTTAAAAATTTGATGATACTTTTCCTTTGGACATATCAGCGAAAAAAATAATGTCACATAGTAGAAAGAAACATGCACAGTAAAATGTATGTGTGCCCAACAATATACTCAACCGAAAAGTGAGAATTAGTGATAAGTGAGATTAAAAGTGCTCTTACTCAGCAACTATCTAACGGTGGTATATATTTGTGATCATCACAGTTTACTGCTACTACTGAAGACATGTTTTGCCCAAAGTGACACTTGGAGATGTTCCCTCGTTGGTAGCTATCGACTATAATCCCAGATGTCTCCTCCGAGAGTAAGTTCGAAATATTCTTGTTCGAAAAGAAAAATTCACAGATATTTTTATAAAATCTGAACTGCAGTTCGCACTCTGAGCATAAATTAAAATGGTGACTTTGTAGAAAAAGACAGAGAAACGATTCTTAAACTTCTCATCGTTCTAAAGTCGTGAAGTTCCAACCACTCATTTAATTGTTGACGTGAAATCCATGTTATCATCTTTTACCTCTTCGAGGTATCGAAAGTAAGCGAGCAGTAGATTGTATTCTTTCCTTGAAGAATATTTACCGAACGTCTCCCCCAAGAAAGAAAAATCTTTAATAATACAGAAAAGTTTTTAGCCAATTAGGCGTTCTTGATGACTGTTTCCTTCTGAAAAGTTTTCCAAATTTTCCCCAATTGAATGTTATCTTTTTCTAGGGTTCGCCAGATTATACGGTATGCTTTTTCTCTTCATTTCACATTTTCTTTCTTAATACCTAGAATGATAAAATCAAACACTGCTTCTTCATCATATAAACAACATATGAAATTCTTCTTTCTGCTGTAGAATATAGTGATCACAGACACCATTCTGCCTTTATGCTTGTTATTATCGTAGATACTAAAAGTGTTTTTGTGTATAGTATGAGCAAAAAAAAATGGCATTCTAACGCCGATCACAAAAATTTAATTATTTTATTTTGCTATAATCAATAACAATCGTCGTTGAACTTCTTACTATCTGAGAATATTAAAATCAAATTTGATACAAATATTATAAGGTTGTATTGGACAGTGATATTCTAGTTTATAAACGCTCTGAATAAGACAATAAACTCATATTTGAGATAATATTTTACAACTATATAGTTGATAAATAAAGAATATAACTTGACGATGACAATATCACAGTTTTCAAAACTTTGATTTTATGGACAAATAAATATATGAACAATTTACTCTGTCTCAACTATAGTCTACTAGATCGGTACTTTTTCCATAATGATTAATTGTTCAAATAAATCCATGAATTATGAAAAAGTATGTTTATTCGTGCTCAGTTATGTATTTGATGCAACTTTATCCAATTAATTTTAACCGTGTAACAATTTCTCTAAAATATTCTGTTGTTGAATCTCTGCTCACACATTTGATTGTAGTCATTAATTAATCGTTACTCAGATGTCGAAATTGTTTGAATGATGTGGTCTTGTCGTTTAATATTCTACAGTTAGCCTTTGAGAACTACTACATATGTTTCATCACTATCTCGAATTTATGACATAAATCAACCAGATGTATTTGAAATACAAACGTTTGGAGGATATTTCGCTAAAAGTCGTAGCTCTTCATGTTGGATCATTTGTAAGATATTCAAACTTCACAAGAAGCCCTAAAACCTTGAACAGAGAGATAATTTACTTCATTTCAACCTTGATCGAGAAGCATCCACAGGGGAAGAACATATAAATCCCTACTGAAGTATATTTGTAAAAATAATCGGTTTATTTTAGTCATCAGTTCTGCGAACCCATTGCGATGTGCTCTGAGGTATTTTTCTCTGAAAGGAAAATATTTTAAGGGACATTTTATATAGCGTTCAGTGTAGCTTCTGCGACGAAGAAAGGCAGTAAAAGCAACCAGTAATTACATCATGTTTACTTAATTATCCGTCTTTTTCTGCATTATATATCCTCTGTCAGTCATATTTGCAATCGATGTGGCTTAATGTAGTTTTATATTTAAAGTAGGAAGTTCATAAATGAGCAAATATCTATTGTGGACAGTATAGAGTTCAATCATTGTACAAATTAGAACTGTGTATATATGCCTGAATTCCTTCATGTTGAACAATCAGGAATATTATTGCTCAGTATCCTAGAAACACCACTTGCTGACAGCAATACCCAAAAAAGTAAAATGGGGGTCGCAGTCTGCATGAAAGAGGGAAGATTAACAGTTTTAATCACCGCAGAAAACTGCACTGAAGTTAGTTACTGCTTTTCATCTTATCTTTTTCTGCGACAATTTGCCAGATGGATATTGACATAATTCATACACTTGTATCTAAAGAAATAGAAATCAAATTCCACTTATGTACTAAATCATCATTTTTCTCACTCTATCATAATAACTACTACTAATCATTATCATATTATAATACAACTAACCATATTAACATACTTTATTGTTATTCTGCTTATTTTTCAATATTAGTAGTTAAACAATTAAGCTCAGCTAGAATAGAAGGAGTAACATAGACATAAATTAAGTACTACTTAATTTTTCATTTCATGAACAAAAACCATCATTATTTGACAGTATCTGTAAGAAATGGAAAAAATAGTAGAGCGTAGACATTGAATCAAAATATTCAAAAGAGCCGAATTAAAATTCGTTAAAACGATACACAACTCAGTAGATTTCCCGCAATATTTCCAGTCTTCAGATATCATTTTGTTTATTTTATATTTTAATATTTTATTTATTCAATGTCACACACCATCATCAACATTGTTATTATCGATTTAAGTAAGAAATATAGCACTGCGACAAAATGCATGTTCAAGTGCTATATTTCTTACTTAAATCTATTTTCTTTACTGCACCACCTCCAAATATTGTTATTATCACCACAGAACGTTAGATGTAAATCGCATACGTGAAAATGTTGTAAATATTTTTGTTATAATTTTCGATTGAGGAATTGATGACATATTTTATAACAGCAAAGTTTAAGTTGTATTGAATGAAACGATGGTGTGGCATCTGCACACTGTTTATTATTTTATTTTGAATGGTTCCGGCTAGTAAAATTGAGCAAATGAACAAACATGTAATATTTTTAATTAAATTTTATGAAATGTTAGGTATTTTTTATTAGAATCTCCTTCTCATCACTTGTTTGATCTTAATCATATTCTATTTTATGTTCTATATAACATGAGGAGTAAAAAATGATAACATTTCTTGTTGTAAATTCGTTGTATTTATATATTTGATTGTTGTTATTCTCATGTAAAAGCGGCATATCTAGCTTTCGGCTGCACAAAATAGATTAATGCACAAGTGTCTGAAGAATATTTTTGCACATCTGTCTCGTCGTAGAAAAATAGATTAAAACAAGCTGTTGTTGCTAAACGAGAGCTGATAACACTAATAAAATCTGATGCTAATAAATGACTTTGAGATCTGTGATATTTCATGCATTTTAGGCCGGAGAAGATAAATATGACCGTGATCATATCCAAGATACACTTATATCCAGACACGTTCCCAGTCAATATCGACCTGTCGATTTTCGATTACCGGTTGGTGGTGGCCATCTGGGCGATATTACAGGTAAATGAGATGACATGTTTCTCTATAGTAATAGTAGTAGTAGCAATAGTACAATCAACAATTTAATCAACAACATCTATTATGATATGTCTATCGAATACAAGCTAAAATAAAATTAAAAGAAGTCTAAATCAATCGTAAAATCAAAAAATAGTGTTAGTATATGTGCATAATTTGGGGATAATAATGACTTAAGAGTGAACAAAATATAGTACACATAACAAAAGAATAAAGATGATAAATCGTAATAAAAATACTTTTTTTTGAAAATGTTTTTGAGGGATGAATATACAATTCTTTTTTTTTGATAAGAATAAATGTATGTGATGGGCAGTAATGTACATGTACTAAAAAAAACGAAAAAGAAAGTAGTGTGTGGTGATGGTTGCTGGTTACACTGCTTCCGGTCTTAACATATAAACCCATGCGAAGAATTTATAAACATTTTGAATTGTTCACAAATCAAAATATCCACATATCAAGATAAAGCAAGAGAAAGAGAGAAAAGAAAAGGAAAAGAGATACTCTAATAAGCTCAAATTACTTTTCAATCAAATAAATAAAAACATTAAATTGAACACTTTTTATATATTATTTTGAAATTGGTACTAGTTCAATAAAAGATGAGTAAAGGTAAAAAGTTAGTCTAAATATCTTCGATACATTAACTTTATCTAATTAATTATCTTTGAACAAGTTTGATAATTATTCTTAAGTATCATTGACTATTATTGTTCATCTACTAATATATGATAACTTTCTATCTTGTTCTCTCTAATGTCTCCACTCGTGCGTTTATTTTAGCCGTGGTTCGTACACCAACAGGAAAAATGCATACACCTGGTATCGAAGATAATCAAGATGGAACTGTTAGTATCAAATATCAGCCATCTGAAATTGGTTTACATGAATTAGATGTTTTTTATCAAGGACAACCCATTGCAGGTTTGCAATTTACATAAATAAAAGAAAAGTATCATATAATTGATGAATTAAATCGAATATTTTTAGGATCACCATTTAAATTTCATGTTGATCAAGTACAAACAGGTTATGTAACAGCCTATGGTCCTGGTTTGAGTCACGGTGTTTGCAATGAACCATGCAACTTTCGTATTGTTACCAAAGATGCCGGCTCTGGTTAGTAGTACGAGTTGTCAATATATAAAAACATTAAAAACTTAACTAAATTATTATGACTTTTAGGAGGTTTAGCAGTTGCCGTTGAAGGTCCATCCAAAGCAGAGATTCAGTGTAAAGATAATAAAGATGGAACGTGTGATGTTACCTACTGGCCGGTATGTATTACGATGATAAAATAAAAACTTGTTCAACATAACATCGATGCATGTGCATTTGACATCTTTAAGACTGCTCCGGGTGAATATACGATAACAGTAAAATTTGCAGATAAACACATAGTTGGTTCGCCATTTACAGCAAAAATAACGGGTATAAAATGGACAATGTGAGGATGTTGTTTTCATGTAACCACATTCGTCTTCTTGTATTAGGTGAACCTCGAAAACGATCACAAGTCATGGTCGGTAATCAAAGTGAAGTGAGTTTACGTGTTATGGAAACAGATATAAATGAACTTCATGCAACAATACGTTCACCAAGTGGCATAGAAGAACCGTGCCTATTAAAAAGATTGACAAATGGAAGTTTAGGTATAATCAGGTCACATAAACGAAACGAATCAATAGAAAAAATGATCACATATTTTTGTTTTTAGGGATATCATTTATACCAAAAGAAACGGGTGACCATCTTGTCAATGTTTATCGTGATGGAAAACATATTAAAAATAGTCCATTTCGTATTCACGTTGGTTCATCTGAAATTGGTGATGCAAGTAAAGTTAGAGTCTTTGGTCAAGGTTTGCAAGAAGGTTAGTTAATATTAAAAATATGCTCTCGTCGTTCTCACTAAAGATATATATTTCTATTATGTAGGTTATGCAAATCAAACAAATGATTTTACTGTTGTTACAAGAGATGCTGGTATTTATGAAGAATGACTTTTTAAACTGTAAAACATTCATCTTAAACTATTATCTAGGTTATGGTGGACTAAGCTTATCAATCGAAGGTCCGAGTAAAGCTGATATTGAATGTCACGATAATGAAGATGGATCTTGTCTTGTTACCTATAAACCAACAGAACCTGGCATTTATATCATTAATATCAAATTTGCCGATAAACATGTGCCAGGTAATGAAAAATTTTAATCTTACTATCCTGTTGCTTTCTCTTGATTAAGATAAATATTCATAATGCACAACTGTATTTTGACTGCTTTTTTTGTCCTATTTGGACAAGTTAAACACTCAAATTGAGAAATTTTTTATCTTTTTAACTTTCGACAGTATAGTAGCGTACAGAGATACATTTTTGGCTTATTGAGCAAATGTGTAAAGAACGAATTTTTTTTTGTTTCAATTTATCACACCATATTCGATCTGAAAGTAAATTTTAAACGATGTTGTGCTGATCTGCGGCCTATATGTGTGTTGGCCAATAACTTTTCTGAGAAAAACCTAAACGTGTTTGTGTTCAATGCTTTTTGGTTCAGTTAACTATTCTTTTTGAGTTATTGACAATATTTCAATAAGTTTTATTAAGAAATGGTATGATCAGCTGGAACTTGGGTTTTGATTACAATTGCTGTTTATCTGCCACTTTTGATAACCTATCATTAATATAGGGCCTTCATATAAATATCTACTTTAAGTGACATGAAAGTCGTTTATTATCGTATGAAATCTTTTTCTCATGTTTCCACATTACAGGCTCTCCATTTACTGTCAAAGTTGGCGGTCAAGGATCTGGTAGACTAAAAGAAAGTATTATACGTGATAGAAAAGCAGCCGAAATTACTCATATTGGAAGTCAATGCGAATTATCATTAAAAATACCTGGTAAGTTAACAGCATGAGCATATAATATGTAAAAGTTAACGATGTCTTTCTTTACTGTATTAATCTTATAAAAAGTCTCATAATCTAGCTGAAGACTTAACGTCACGCTAAACTCTATACGTGTGTTCATCTTTTTTATCACCGGTATATGTTATATTTCTAAAGCAATTTTGTTTGATCTGCTCACAGATGTGAAGAAGCTACCCGCCTGCGACAACAGCAGTTGATAAAAACCTCTGTTCTATTATTAGAAATTCTACCGCAAGAATATTTTTCAATAGTATAAATTTCCGAACATTTTCTTACGGTTCGTGAAATGTTGCGTTTTTATCGGAAGATTCCATGCCTTTGATTACCCACATGTCCAATAAGCGTTGACAAATTTGTCTGATAACTTTATCAATGGATTTCATTTTCTTATCTTTATCCTTGTTAGTAAAGAAAATGTGTTTTGTATGTGTGTTTGTGCGTGGTGTGTATATTAAATATTGTCATCAGTGCTTATAATTCGTCTGTACATTTTTTTATAATATAAAAAGTATAACACGGTTTATCATCTTTGTATATATGTCTGCTTGATAATTGCCATCTATTCTATTTTGTCTTCATGATAACTCCACCTTTCTTCTTTTTTCCTAATAATTGTAACTATACATTGTTACTATTAATGTATGTCACTTGTAAATTCTTTTCTTATCCTATATTGGGCTCGGTAGTATTTAACAATATTATCTTCATAGATTGGAAAAACAAAAAAACGTTTTTCTTATCGTTTCTCTTAATGAACTGTATCGACGAGTGTCAACCTTCGCCTATGCAAAGAACGTAGAGGTCATTTTTCTACTCTCTCTTTTTCTCTCAAGACTATTTATAAATTTATGCATAAACAACAACAAAAAAAGTTGTTATCTCGATGATATGTTTACTTCTGCCGATCCACCACAAACGTTCTTGTTGTTATACTATTATCATTAGTATTATTCTGTTTATCTTCATTTATCTCGATGATATGTTGTTGCATATACAAAAAAATTATATATCGGAAAGAGGAAAAATGAAACAGAACGAAGTGTACAGTTTGAAGAAGTAATACGGAACACAATCAAACACCTTCTTTTCTTGTAATACAAAAAATATGCCAGCTGAATATTCTGGTGAACGTCGTTCGTCTTATTCACATTATTCAATGTCACAAACAAACAATGAAAAACCAATCATAACGAGAGAAGAAGATCAGCAAACTGAGACATGGAATCAACCGTTTGGTACTAATATACCACAGACATCCTTGACATCCTTTCATAATCGTTCATCAACATTGAACGATGGAGATGGTAGAAAAATCTTACACAGAGCACCACAATTTAATTTAGCCCAAGATTGGGAAAATCGATCACGCACACAATCGGGAACGTATATAAATAACAGTGATGATCAGCAATTTAGATCACAATATAAACTTGGATCACAACAGCAACAACAACAGCAACCACAATATTTTTCATTACCGCGAAGATTTGATTCATCATCTTCATTTCAACAAGAACAAGAACAACAACACCAGCAACAAAAACAAACGTCGTCATCCTCTTATTACGATCAAAAAGAATCATCATATTCACGGGCAGCAAGTGGTGGAGATCATAATCTTCTTGTTAGGCATATTCCTGTTACCCAAAAGTCATCATATAGTGCATTGCAACATCAATATGATTCGCCATATTATCATGGTTTTAAATTTCAAGTGTTACCAGGTTGACTACTAATATCCCTTTCAAAAAAAAAATGCCTCTGGATGTTTTTTGAGTTCATAACTCACTAAAAATCGATCCGGACTACTTCAAAACCTCAAGATAAGCTCTATTTTATCTGTACATATGTTGAAAGACAAAATCAATGGAAAGTACTCACATTTTGAAAAGATTTTCTAGTAAGAAAATGGCTTTTAGTAGTTTTTAATATAGAATCAGATTACGCATATAGAACAGAGTTTATCTTGATGTTCTGAAATGGTCTGGATCGATTCTGACCGAATTATGAATTCTTTAATTATCTGTGACAATAGTCGAACCTAACAGGAGTTATCAGTGTGCTTTTGAAATTTTCTTCGGAAAGCAATCATTTGCACGAGATTCAGTGTAGCCGATAACCTATGTTTTCATTGATCTTCAGGATTATCACACGCGAAGGAATGCTAATACCCGCAGTGGTGGTACTGGCGACCACCAGCACCGAAGATTTTGATTCCATAGTATCTTGTCCATAAAAACTCATCAATACTACATGTGAAGTTTTCTGGACTGTGTTTTTTTTTCAATTCCACCAGCACTGATAAATCCGTCACTGAATACTGGGACTTTCAGGAGATCCGATGCCACATCTAACCACGAAAAAATTAAGAGATCGCTTAGTTTCCATGTTGACGAGGATACTGTAGATGATCTATCTATGAAAGAAAACGAAAATATTTGTGTAGCAATATTCAGAATATCAACCTGTTTTTCCAAAAAATCGCATAAAAACTCAACCTTCGCGAAGGATTATGAAAAGTTCTGTCCATAGGACCACGTGCCCCGATCGTGACTATCGAATGATGAAAGCTGGATGTCTCTCCATTGTTTCTATCAAAAGTTGTGGATAAAAGATCCTTTGTTAGAAATTAGATATACGTTGGAATAAAACTTTTTAGCTTTTGCTAGAAAGAATATGGTAATAATATGCAATACACAAATTATTTCCTTTAGGCACAAGTCCATTCGATATGAGTGCTTATGTCACAAGTCCATCTGGTCATATTGAAGATTGTGAAATAGTCGATTTAGATGACTGTAATTATTCAATTAAATTTGTTCCAAAACAAATGGGTGTACATACAGTTAGTGTCAAACATAAAGATATGCATATTCCTGGATCGCCATTCGAGTTTACCGTTGGTCCAATAGCTGGAGGTGGAGCACATAAAGTTCGTGCCAGTGGTAGTGGCCTTACACGAGGAGAAGTGAATACGCAAAGTAGGTGTTTTGTTTTCTTATCTATTGCACTAATTTTGATTATCATTGTTCTTGTATCTTATTTAAGGCGAGTTTAATATTTACACGCGTGAAGCCGGTGCTGGCGGTTTAGCTATTGCAGTTGAAGGACCGGCAAAAGCCGAAATTGACTTTTTTGATAGAAAAGATGGATCGTGTGGAGTATCTTATGTTTGTCCAGAACCAGGTGTGTACGCAAAAAAATATATACTTTGATTTCACGTTGTTTTACGTGTTTGATTTTGTAGGAGAATATCAAGTGTCAATCAAATTTAATGACGAACACATCCCAGATTCTCCTTTCACAGTCAATATATCACCTCCAATTGGTGATGCTAAAAAACTTACAATACATAGTTTGAAAACTAAAGGACTTGAAGTATGTCATAGCTCAAGCTACTTGTGAATGTTTAAAATAAAACGTTATTCTTTGATTGTTCAGGTAAACAGACCCTGTACATTTACCGTAAACGTTAACGGTGCAAGAGGACGATTAGATGCACGTGTAACAGCTCCAAGTGGTGCAGAAGACACTTGCCTTGTTCAAGAAATGGGGGATGGTAAGATTTGTAGAAAAGTAATATGCATCACTTTTTATTATAATTTATTTGTCATTGGTTTAGAACATTACGCAATTCGATTTATACCACGAGAAAACGGTGTTCACTGGGTACATGTAAGATTTAACGGAAGAGATATTCCAGACTCACCGTTTAGAGGTAAATTTTACATGGCAAAAAGTTTATTATTATATACATATGCATAATTTCTATTGATACTATAGTTGTTGTTGGACATGCAAATGCAGATCCAGGACGAGTGTTTGCAAGTGGTCCCGGACTTTATCAGGGTGAAACAGGTATAATTTGAAAGAAAAACATAAACAACCGATAGAATGTGTAAATGTATATATTCTTTTTTAAGGAAGACCGTGTGAATTCCTAATCGATACAATGAATGCAGGAGCTGGTGCTCTCGCTGTAACTGTCGATGGACCATCTAAAGTACAACTTGATTGTAAAGAAGTAGCTGAAGGTAGATATTCGTATATTTTCACTCATTATTGTGTAAATCATTCCATTCCAGTTTACTAGAATTTTTTTGAATTTTCTTTTAAAGGTTATCGTGTTACATTTACTCCAACAGCTCCAGGAGATTATTTAATTACAATTAAATTTGCTGGTATTAACATTGGTGGTAGCCCCTTCAAAAATACTGTAACGGGTATGAATTTTTATAATATCACATTGTTTCGAATAATCACACTATTCATTTTTATTTAGGTATGGGTATGAATAATCGTACAAGTGGTTTGATGACAACAAGTACATCAGGATCATCATATGCTCAAAGACAACAAAATGTTTCTAATATAATATTTGAAACTGTTGAAAAATCAGCTTCGTCAAGTCATCTAACTTCTATGCAACGTCAATCAGACGCTGGAAAAGTTAGAGTAAATGGACAAGGATTACAAAAAGCATATCAAAATCAAAAAGCATCATTTACTGTTGATACTCGAGACGCTGGTAATTATAGATAATTATTAATTAAATTTGATCATTTCATAATAATTTTTTGTTATTTTTCAGGGAGTGCAATGTTGATGGTAGGTGTCTATGGACCAAAATATCCATGTGAAGAAGTATTCATCAAACATATGGGAAATAATCAATATAATGTATCTTATACAGTAAGAGAAAAAGGAGAATATATGGTATGTATAAACATTGTTTTATTTATTTTAAACATTCTTGTACAAATGACGGTTGTATTTTTTTAGTTAATTGTGAAATGGGGCGATCAACATATTCCTGGCTCACCGTGGCATATTGAAGTTGTATAAAAACAAAACAAAAAAAAAAATTCTCATCTATGAATAGAAAAATATTGTTTCTCCTTTATATTGCACAAACAGTTAGTTGCATAAAACTTGACGAACAAGCAACAACGCGACAAAAATGAGTCGTTAATATTATCTTTCTACGCTTTTCTTTATTCTCCTATTTGTCTCTCTCTTTCTCTCGTTGTTCTCTATATGTACATGTGTGTGTGAATGTCTCTATTTATATATATATATATCTAAAACTAGCAGAGAATTTATTTTTCTTTCACACTAAATGTATTATTTCTCTAAGAATGGTATTAATTGTCAACTTTTTTCTTCTTCTCTGTCAACACTATGCATGCTCAAAACATGGGAAGAAGAGTATTCAGTCATACTTGGTGCTATGAAAGTAGAAATTCTAGGAACTGTTTATGGTGCTCCACAATCAAAAAATTAAACCATTATCTTTTAGAATTAATCATTTATTCTTAGGATTTTTTTTTTTGTTTTTTGTTGTTATTCGCTCTTCTCTCTCATTGTTCTATTTTTTACATCTATGTGTTTGTCTTCCTTTTTTCTTTTTAGAAGGTAATTAATAAATTTGTTTCTTTTTCATTTTTTATACATAAAAGAACTATTGATTCGTTTGTCTGTTTTTCTACATACATCGATCTACTTTGTTTTACATGCCGCTTCTTTTTGTTTTGTTTTGCTATATCCAAACAGTATTTTACCGTTTGTTTTCTTCTTTTTTTTAATAATATGAAATATAATGCGTTGAACTTTCAAAATTCGGTTAAAAGATCCTTTTTTTCGTACAGTATATTGAAAACGACGTTGTATTTTTTTTTCTTCTCATATCCCATTTATTTTACCAAACTATTTGTTTCGTTTTCTTTACTTCTTAACAAAAATGGTTTATGTTTTTCTCTCAAAAAAAAAAAAAATTAGTTCATTTTTTTTGGTATTTTTCATTCAACATACAGGTGCTTTTTTTCTTATTCTATGTTTTCATATTATTTTTTAAGAAAAAATTTTCTTAAATTGAACAAATTGACATAAAAATATTGCCGGATAAATCGATGAGACAATCGTAAAGTGGACTAATCATCAAAAATTTGTTCTTACATATTTCTTTGAAATCCATTCTTCACTCTTTCGATGGAGGGAAATTTCTAGTATATACAACCCGTGAATATCATGAAATGAACTGTGATTACACATGAACAGTATAAAATGGTGTGCGAGCACGCGTGAAAAATATATTCCACTTGTGACAACACGTGGACTGTTCATATTTTTTGCACGTGATCACTAGTGGAAATCGTAAAATGGTGTGTAGACATATGTGAAAAGAAATTCTCACTTGTGAAACTATAGAAAGTTCACACGTGACTATGCAATTGATGTGGCAACTGCATGACCTCAACATCATGAAACTTTGATAAAATTTTCCCATGGGTTGTACATAATTTAAACACAGACATATATCAAAATCAATGTTCTTATTTCTCTCAATATCTTCACAAATCTAGTACTATTATTTAATAATTAATTTAACTTTGTATAAATTTTATCATTGAGTTAAGTAGTTTTTATGGATCAGCGAACATCACGAATCTTTGTGAGATGATTAAATTCTAAATTCAACATATAAATTTACTATTTCTTTCTTTTAAAGTTTAAATTAAAAATAACGCTAGATGTTTTAAATGAAGACTTATCCATAAATAATACGAAGTGAGATACAATTTAATGGATTCGATGTGGGATTTAAAAGAAGCGAGATCGAACATTTCGGACGTATAGTCAAAAATTGGTAGAACACAGACAACATAAAGATGAAGTTTTAACGAAAATGATGCGGCACAATTAATAGTACCTAACATCTTACAACATCTAGTTGAAGTAATCTCAACATGTTTATTTTATTTTAATTATGATATAGTATTAATCTAGTCTAAGTGATACATTCAAGTTCTTCGTTCTCACTAACACAACGTTTTAATAGAAAGAGATATAATGATGAGTCATCAGAGATCATCCAATTACATTTTTCAATAATGAGTTTAACTAAACTAGAATCATACATAGGTCAAGATAAATGCTAAAATGAAAATAATATTGACATCGTTAACGGTATCGACGTCATTTTCATTTTAGCTTATCTTGATAAGAATCACATGTTTACCACCATCTAGCAGTCAACTATTCACAAGAACAGATTTTAGTTCAACAAAGCAACAGAAAAGTACATTTATTTTATCTCTTCTTTTTCTTTCTTCTGTCTATGTGTAAAAGCAAACGACAGGATTGCATTCGGATTGTCCCTACCAAGGTGTAACATTTATTTTTTATTTTTTTTTTTATTTCTTCCATGAAAAACGAAAGTGATTCATGAATAAATCATATTTTTACGAATACGCATGCTAATCGTAAGAAAAATAAAATAAAAACTTTTTTAATACCAAAAAGTAAGATCGAAGAGCCGAAAAAGAGAAAAATATATACTATTTTTGCACTTACTTAAATACGCGTATATTTTTATTTCACTCATTTGAATAATAGGATCTACTTATAGCGTAAGTTTTTACAACTTAACAACTATCATCTATTTGAAATTGTTCTATAATTAGCTAACATAACATATCAAATATTTCGCTTTATAAATTGTAAAAAAAAATACAAAAAATTTTTAAGTTCACGATTGTCTGTCTCCTAAAGGGAAAAGTCAATTAATAGAGCAGAACAGTGTCAAACATAAATGATGTCTTAATTTATTGTTTATTTATTTTTTTTAAATACCCATCAAATTAGTAATCAGAGATATGAATCACATTTTATGATTTTGTTGCTCAGTAATAGAATATAAAGAAGTTGAAAATACCAAACTGTTCAGTACACAGATATTTCTTTGTTTTTAGTTCATTTCATTTTAGAATATATTGCATAGGCTCAATACATTGAATTTTAAAAACAATGTTTAATAAACCAGTTGAAATTTATCAAATATTTACAATTGTTGTACTGACACTATTATCTTTAATTCCATTTTCATATGGAGATAGTAGAGTGATTATTGGATCTTCTGTTGGTGGAATCGTTGGTCTAGTAAGTTGTTTTACTAAATTTTTAGTATATTGTGATTCAAAATGATATTCTTCATTTAGATTATTTTAATTCTGGATGTAATAGCAATTGTTGAAGTAATGAATTCATCATATTCTATTTATCTTAGAACATTTGTTTATATATTCTTGTATTTACAGGTTTTAGTATCGTCAAAATCTTTATTGGGCAAACTACTATGGATATTATTAGTAGTCATTTTTCCTGTAGGAGGTCAGTTATTTACAACTTAAAAAAAAATATTCAAAATTATATTGAATTTAATTTGTCTCTCATTTTTTTCATTTAGGTTTGATCATTTATTTGTGTTTTGGTCGTCATAGATCGGTCGATCATGTACTTACATCATAATCACTTTTATTAATCCACATATATTTTAATCACGCATTTAACCTTGTTTTTCATTTCATATAAAATATGATATTTTTATGCAAGAATTTAACTATTTTGAAACATATTTAATATTGATTATCAACAATTTAAGATCATATATAAAAAACAATTTCTAAGCTTGATGAAGGAGAACTGATCGATACTTTTTAGCTAATAACAATAACAAATAACTATTAGAAAATCAAGAGTTTCTTTTGTGACTCTCAAAGACAGAAATTACGTAATATTAACGTCCATGTCAAGTTTTTTGCAGTATGTAAAATCGTGTTGAAAGCTCTTATTTAGTGGCAAAAGTCTAGAATTATGGAATATTTTTCGTGTTGAACAAGAAATTAAATTAAATTAAATTTTTAACAAGGGTTAGAACGCAACATAGATTTCTGGAAAATCAACTCGAATAAACTTTATTGAAATATGAGACCTTGAAGTATAGGTCGAGCAGTGTCGAAGATAAAAAACTAAAAGTTAAGATGGGAATTTTAATTAAATAGCTTTCAAATTGAAAAATGGGATTCGAGATCTACCTACTGCGAGAAACAGAAAATAAGTATAAATTTGACTTCGTCCTATGAGCAAGCATCAAATTAGCTTCATTTTCATTTGAAAGAAAGTTCAATTTTTCTATTGACATTTTGAACAAAAAAGAACTAAGCCCACGAGAACTTTTGTGGTAAAAGAAAGAAGAGTTCTAAATTTGTAGGCAACTATATTGTTTTGTATGCTGATTCTAGTGAACAGTCGATCAAAGCTTCAACTCATCATGGTTTTAAATTTCAGGTATTACCAAACTGATTACTACCGTACGTTTCAAAAAAGAATGCCGGTAGTAGTCGATAATCTGTGTTCGCATTCATCTTCAGGATTATCACACGTGAAGGAATGCTAATACTGATGCTTTTTGGAGATCCGATGCCACGTGTAACCACGAAAAAGTTAAGAGATCGCTTGGTTTTCATGTTGAAGAGGACACTATAGATGATCTATCTATGAAAGAAAATTCGTGTGGCAATATTCAGAATATTAACCTGCTTTTTCAAAAATTCCATCAGAACTTAACCTTCGCGAAGGATCATGAAAAATTCTTTCCATAGGACCACGTGCGTCGATTTTGGCTATCGAATGATAAAAGCTGGATGTCTCTCTCTTGTTCCTATGAAAAGTTGTGGATAAAACATCCACTAGCATTCTCTTTTTAAATGGATAGCACATCCGTTAATTCTAATTTTCATTGCTTTAATGATTATCACTATTATCTACAATCAGCTAGTTCGCAAAAATAACAATCATTTTACGTTGTGGCTCAATTGTATTATTCGTTTGAAAAGTTTTAATGTTCAGATGACTTTTGGTGTTTTCTGCATGATTATGTCAATTTAACATATATCATAATTTCAATGAATCATATTTATGATGAAGAAATTGTCCTATTTTTTTATATGTATTACGTGGACGCCAGAGTCCTGTGAGGCTGACTATGTTTTAACTCGATCTCGTTCCGACATTGAAAAAATTTTTAGCAAGCGGGATCGAGTTAAGCTCACACGACTCTAATGGATGCAGTCTTGATACCAAATTTTCTTACCGTTCGTGTAAAGGTGGGCAAGTCTATCCATTTCCAATCATTATAGAAAATGTTTTGCTTGAATAACAACAGTATTGTCTGCTTGATTATTAAAACGGTTAAAATATCATATTGAAGAGAACAAGAACAAAGGCAGCAAATAAGAAAAAAAATGTTACAAAAATAAACTAAAACTACATTTTAACAATACTAAACGTCAAAGTGTGTCTTTTGACATTGTGGTCTCATAAGAAATATACTTTATTGGAAAACACGCTCAAATATATGTAAGATTGCACTGACTTCGCTCGTAAATATGATAGATCTTACTTGGACTTCAAACGGACTAGAGTAAGTCCAAGTCCAAGTGGAATTGCCCACTTGCATTTGAGTGCGGATTCTGCGCTCATTTTCAACGACATAATAATTATTATCTACGAATCTCTTTAATTGATAAACATCAGTTTAACAATAAATACAAAACCTTGTACGTGCAGATAAAAAGAAGTTTTGCAAGCAGTTAAGAAGAAATAATTGAATTATTGCACAACAGATGAAAAGCACAAAACGTGACAAATGAAAACAAATGTTCACAACGCACACACAATGGAAATAAAATATCTGACCAAATTAGTAGACAGTTAGGTTTATTATCTAAAAAAGATGCAATTATTCGTGACTAGAAATAATCAAAAAGAAAAACCACAAATATTCAGATCATAACGTAAATTATTGAGTTCATTCACAGTCTAAAGAAAAAAAGAAAGTCGATATTTTCATGTTATAAATGTTAAAAAAAGTTTAAGTAACTTACTCTCTTTGATCGATTGCATAACTAATGGGGTAGACGTTGCGTCTCGTTCCTGATAATCCATTCGTTCATCTGTTTTATCCGAAGGATAACATGAATCCTGTAAATACAAAAGATCTTTTATTTTTCGTATTTGAACAACGCCCAGAAACTGAAAGTCTAACGTGGATTAAGGGAGAAAATGGCAAAAGAAAAAAAAACACTGAAAAAAGAAAATGTACCTATTTCAGAATGCCATTTCTCTTAAAGTCCGAAATAAAAACTTTTCTTTTGTTTCAGGGTGGCATTCCAAACATTTTTGTATGATTTGACTACTTTATTTTATGAGATTTAAACTCATGATTGTTAAAAATGTCTCATTGATTTGATTTACCTCTGTATAGGGTATACTTAAACGTTTCATCGAATCAAAATTAATATTTGACGGTTTAAATGGACTTGATAACATTTGCGTAACACTTTTCTTCATTCGGCTTGTTGATGACGATGGACTAAACGAAAGTGCACGACTCAATCGTTTATTTACTTTGTGTGCACATCTAAAGAATATCAAACGTTCTTAAATAACAAAATACACAAGAAAATCATCATCTCTAGTCAACCTTTTCATAACACTGGTTAATACATTTGAACTACGTGACGATATTGATGTTATGTTACTGTTAATGGACGAGGAATATTCTAATGATGATAGTGAAGTAGTAGATGCTGTTAAAATAGATGAGGAAAAAAATAATTCGCTTGAATCAATTGTTTGAATCAATGTTGTCTAGAGAAAAACTCAACAGCAATTAAAATAGAAGGAAACTAACTATTGACATTTTTGTCTTACTGTGTTTGTTAGACATTTTTCTTCGGATATTGTTTTTGCTAATGTTTGTAAAATATCATTTTTTGTGACTAGCGGTAAAGTATCACCGATACGTGTTGTAAATAAGAGATGGCGTTCAAGTCCATCAATCGAGCATACCATTCCCAACTGATCATTAATTTCTAAAAAAAAAAGCGGCTATATTTTTGATAAATTGTCAGTCGTCTCTAAACATACCATTGTCAATTAATGATGACGTAATATTGAATAAAGTTTTAACAGTATTCAATCGTACTAGTACAACATGTTTATATGCTTTTGCTGTTTTAGTTAGTGTTCGTATTGTACCGGTGCGATTTGGCGGTGTTGCTGTTGTAAGTTTAATTGCTTTCCATGAGTTGTTTCGCACTTTAGTAATCTAAAAATGTAAAATACACATGAATATTTTGATCTTTGTACATAAAAATTTGCAAGAACTACTTCAATGCAGTCAGAAAATAAGAATAATACTAAATGTGTTCCTTTTCCATACAGTTCTTGTGATAATTCGATGAGATCAAATTTATCTATATAACGACGATGTGCTGACAGTAACTCAGGCTAGAATTTAAAATAAGAAAATTAAAGAAAGGAGTTTTATGTAAAACAACAAAAAAATTCCCACGTACTGGACAATTATCAATATTATTTACAATCGTAAACATTGTTACTTGATTTTCTGTTTTTCCTCTTTCTTCATTTAGTTTTCTAGCAATATTTTTCACTATATCAATTGCTTTATTTAATGGTTCATGATCAACATGAGAAGATGGTGTATATTTCAATACTCCTGAGCAAAGAACAAAAAATATTAGATACATAGTAACAATACTTTCAACTCTCGTGTGTACTACTTACTTTCCAATAATAATAAAATACTTGGTAAACGTTGTACCGGTCTAATCATTAAATCCACTAATTGTTGTTTACCAAGCTCTGGTCTATGTTGAGCAATCTGTCAAAGCAAACTAAGGGAAAAAATGGTATATCAAGATCTTCTGAAGAATCTGTTACTTTTAAATACGCATAAAATCGTGTATTCGTTTTTTCTAAATAACGTATTGTTTCCACAGTTTTATCATAAAATTTTGTATATGGTTCATATACTTTCAATATTTTAACAGACTATAAAATAAGAATCAAAAAATAATATACATAAAATTAGAAACCAATTCAACTTACACTATCGATAAAAATTGTTCCAACACTTTGCGTTGATAATGTTATTAATTGTTCTAATTTTGAACATATTTCAATGTGTAAATCATAAATTGCTTGGCTATTACCAAACAAAAACGAACTTTCAATTGGATTTAATATTGGTCCATTTCTATCAGATTCTTTTTCAACTTCAGTTTTATAAATCTTAATCAAACAAGACCATAATGATTTACTTTAAAGAAGGAGAATAGAAACAGCGATGAATCAAGAAAAGAAACTCATACACACAAATTCTGATATATAAGAGACTAATCTTCGATCTTCTTGTATTTTTAACTGCATCAAACTTACAGAAATTATATTTTTCAACATCATCACATAGTTTCGTTCTGTTTCATATAATTCCATTATACTTAAACACCGATTGTCTTTTTTTCGTTTGTCTGGACTACCTATAAATAAATAAAAAATAATTTGATAGATTGAACAAAGAAGAATATTAACATTTAAGTACCATCATCGTTCAATGATTTACTCAAATTCAACATTGGCGATATAAACATATTATTATAACTGTTATTGTTTTCCAAATTGTTTTCAATTGATCGACGTTTATGTGGTGTTATAGTACTATTCTCAAATTGGTTATGTTGTCCACGACGTTTTCGAGTAATATTTTGTGATTGTGATGTGGGCGGTGTTGAACAAAATGTAATTGAAGGGGAAATAGTGTTTTGTATACTAATATCTTGATTTTTCTATCAAAGACAGACAATCATATAGAGTTACTACTATAGATAATCTCATAAGATTATTGTTCAACATACACGAGGAAATGCACGATAAGCTGATTCATCAGCTTTTCCAACTAGTAAAATACATTCCCAAAACCACTAAAACATACAAAATGATTTGTAAATTATCAGAAAAGATGGCTAGTTTTCTTACTTGTGCTATAACACAATACTGTCTTGGTTGTTTGACATAATCAGGATACGTTTCTGTAAAAGATGTTTCACAATCATCCGATATAACAATATGTGTTGCATCGGTCAAATATGATGTTATATAACCACCTAGAATACAAGTCAAACTCATACTGAGATATTTTGAATGGGAAGTAAACTCAATGGTGTCTACCGTTTTGTACTGTTAACATTTCCATATTTTTTCTATCGTCATCATTTGTGAAACCATAAAAGAATAATCGAAGATTATGAAACGATTTTGTTCGATATTTTTCAACAATATTTCGATGATCAAACAAACGATTATTACGTTCTTGCCAACAGTTTGTTATAAATTCTTCTGTAACGATTTCACTACGTTCCATATTAAATGCTGTCTAAAAAGTGAGAATAAAACTATAATAATTTACATGAAAGAAAGTATTTAAGTTTAAGCACACGCAAAAAAAAAAAAATCGTAAATAAATTCCAAAACTAAATGAAAAAAGGTTTTGTTAAATTTTAACGAACAGCATACTCGTTTATCTAATCCAAAATAGTTTTTGTGCTGCACTTTTTCATACTTCAATTTGCAGTAGACTCTCAATGCATTTATACATCAAATTAGTAGAAACAAAATTACTTACAAGATATTTTTCACCCAAATTTGCATGTGCTACAACGTGTGTTATCTGATCAGAATAATCTTTTCTAACACTTCCGCCAAGATAATGTACATAATCACATAAACGTTGCTAAAAAAAATTAAACATTTATAAGTGTATCATCGTTAATCAACAATTAGAGATCAAAATCAAAAACGTAGGAAAGTAAATGAGCGTATATATGGTTTTCTTCATTTCTCTTTTGTGCAAAAATCTGATTATACATTTTAGTCAATTATGACACATAATTAGTTTTCGATCTATTTACCAATTTATCTTGATCACGAAAAGCTACAAAACAAATAACAGTTGATGATAAATGTTCACAATAGAGTGGTCTATTTAATTTTGGTACGGGAACATCCTAAAATGAGCAATAGAAGATTATTAATTAAAATATTAGTTGATTTTTCTAGAATACGAGAAGAAATAAATTTATTATAATAATCTAAAATGTAGTAAATATCAGTTACTTTGATAGCATTCTTTCTTACTTTTTTCTTTTCTACATATATCGAAACTAATTCTGAACTAATGATATATAAATCTTGATCACGTTTTAATAAATAATCATCATCATTGTCAAACGAATCAACAATAAAAATATACATTTGTCTCTGATTTAGACTATTATTGATCATTTGTTTTGAATCTTCAATTTTATCCATCAATTCATTTCTGTCTGTTATGCATTTATATCGATCTGGATACATATGATCTAATGCGTCAATTAAGTCAGTATTTCGACAAGCATTACCCGTAACATAAAACGATATGACTATAAACAAAAAACAACAAGTTAAACAGTGTGAGAACGAGATAAGCTTGAACTTTATTTACCAAAAATGAAGGACATGAAAAATCGATAAATAGCTAATCAAAAGGAGTATAATGTAGCCTCTATTGTCTAACGCAAAATGCACGAATATCAACAAAGAAAAAGAAAAGCTACAGATACAAAAGGTAGAAGACAGAAAATGATGAACATAGACACAGTAAAAATACAATTAATTAACAGTATGTTCTAAATGTTGTATAGTTGTTTTTTAAATAATCTCAAAGATTTACAGTTCACAATTGGCAGAGAATTCCATTCCACCGGAGTTTTATAGAAAAATGACGACTGAACTGCAGTATATTACAGTGCTCGCTATATATAGCAAGCGAATGGACTGATGACAGATCGATTATGATTTAATCGTTGAGAATGTCACGCAGTTACAGAAGTAATTGTACTGGAAGAATCAAGTAAAGTAAGATTATTAATAATATGGAAAAATAATATCAGTCGAAAATACTGTTGACGTACACTAAGATTAGGAAGTGATAGAGTAGATACAATCTCACTACTGTCATGAAAATAGTTAAAGTCTTGACTAATGATTCACACAGCTAATCTTTGTATACTGTTTAATGGCTCGAGATGGGTCGAAAAATTTGAGTTAAAAATTACACTACTGTACTTAATTTTAGGTAGAATGCAACACATAAATAATAAGACGAATTGTCTTCACAGAAGTAAAGAATGTTCTATTAAGAGCCCCAAACATTCTCTACAGGCTAACGCCGTTCCATTAATGTGAATTATTCGAATGAGATTATACGACAGGCGTAATCCCAATAGTTTTGGGTGGTTTTCAGAATCGAGAACTTAACCATTAACAAATAGGGAGAATTGACGCATAGTAGATTCACAAAAAGTGAAATAGCATATACTATGCAGCAAATACTTACACCAATCCATAGATGAAGATGTATCTGATGAGCTCATCGGTTTCAAACTAATATTTTTATGACAAGACATTGAACTGTTACTGCAATTGCTTAAATCTTCCATAATAGACTAATCGCAGATAGATCTCATCTAAAATTTTTAATCTAAAAAAAGATGATAATCGATACATAATAATTCTCTCTCTCTCAACACACAATTAAACTCTGCCTTTTACCTCATCTGCGAGTCAAACTTAATGAAACAAAGAATCATGAGAAAAAAGTTATATGTATTCGATGATGTCAGTTTTGAAAACATTGTTACTTTAAGTAAATGATGAAGACTATTTGTCTTTCTTTTAATCTCATCAACAATGATAGCTGTGGCACAACAAAAGAAAGGAAGAAACGGACAAATCACTCCTCTAACAGTTACCGGTATAGAGTGCTGACAAGTGTCAGTTTCAATAAAGCGGTCGATTTAGTTCTATGAAGTCATGCTGTATTAAGAGAAAACACGATGATGGAGAGAGAAAGCAATGACGTTTTTTGAGATTGACACCGTGTAATTTATGAATCATTTTGCAAAAGACAAATAAAAGTATTTCATTGATTTAACGTGCTCGAGTGAGAGCTTTAGATTAACTCATTACTGAAAAAGAAAAATCCGTCATAAAAATTATCATCATGCTAAAACTGTAGCGAAATCGGAATAAAATCTATCACTACACTTTTGGTGTGCCATCTGTCTAAACATGATGACAACATTTTAATGAGAATTAAAATTAAATTGAAATTTTCCTCTTCGCTTTCAAACACAAACTGGACCGAGCGAATACACTGGAAATTTCCATGATAATTCAGAATATGATTTTACTATGTTTGAGTTTGACTTTTTCGTGTATTCGCACTAGCTAATACACAAACTCAAATTAAGCGTTCCTATAGATGTTCGATTAAAAGTAATAAAGCCATAAAGAAGCCAAACAATAAAGTAGCATTATCTAATACTGATCGGATATATTACTAGCAAGCTTCTAGGGCACTTGCAGAGTTTCGGTTTCCTTTTTCTCGTAGGACAATAGTCATAGACTATACTATACTCGCTCATAGTTTTGGTAGTCAACCGATCGATTATCCAGTCAGAGAAGAAGACGTTTGCTATTGGATATAAGTGCCACAAAGCAAATGAGATTTTTATGTTCTCACCTAGATGAGTAGTAAAAAGTTAGACGAGAACGCTGGAGTGTGGTGACTATTTTTACGGCCCAGGGTAAAACTACTGACACTGACGCTTTTTGATTGGCCAAGTCCATAGTTTCACAAAGACGGTCAGTGTCAGTAGTTTTACCCTGGGCCTATTTTTACTGACCGACTGAGGTTGTCCCTTTTTTTACTGAGAAACTGATTTTACTGAACTTTTCTGATTGGGTTATAGAAAAATTTACGCTCTGGTGACTCAGAAACCCAGTTCAGTTCAGTTTCTCAGTAAAAAAAGGAACAATCCCGACTGACTTTAATGACCAAATTTGATTGGTTTATCCAATGGTTACACCAATCAAATTTAGTCAGTAAAGTCGGTCGGTCAGTAAAAATAGCCACCACCCGCTGGAGGATATAATACCCTAGACTAAAGTCAAGGAAACAACGTGGACGAGGCCTAGATGATAAATGAGTAACATTGCCTTTGAATCAGCTGCGAAATCAAATTTTAAGTTACACTGAAGTTGGCGCCTACACTTTCAATCAATTATCATTTTTTGGAAAAGTTCCCGATTTCCAATCGATCTATTTTCAAACACTCAAGAAAAGAAATGAAATGTCCACCAAACCGGAAAAGGGGACATTCCCACCTACACCCACAAGACAGTGTACTTGTTTTTGAGACAGAACTCATAGATATTGAGAAAAGTGTGAGAGAAAACGACACAAAAAATGATCGAGCGAAAAAACATGGGAATTATTGCTAGAATGCGTTTATACATCTGTGATAGACTCTTTGATTTTGACTGTTCTTGTTATCTGTTATAAGTTGTTCTTGCGTCGAGAAATCTGATTTCTGATAAAAGAATTTACTAAAGAGAAGAATCAAATAACAAGAAAACCAAACGATCAATCAAATGATTTAACGGCCACGGAATGCCGTTGCTACGATCTTAGACGTTTTATTTCGGCAGTTTTTCCTTGTCTTAAATACATTGCGGAAAAATTGTAATCAATAATTATCCATTCAAAATAAAATTGAGCTTGTAATCGTCTAAATGCACTTAAACTATACTAGTGATTTAAATAAATTAAATGTAGAAAAGTGCATTTATTTAAACTGCTAGTGTGGTCTAAGTGCATTTAGACGGTTACAAGCTCAATTTTATTTTGAATGGATAATTATTGATTACAATTCTTCCGCAATGTATTTAAGACAAGGAAAAACTGCCGATATAAAACGTCTAAGAATCATGAAAGGAAGCACTTTTTTTTCCTGGGTCGTTAGATCAAAACAAGAAAACGATGAAATTTGAAACGATAAAACGTCTACACTGTAATGTCGGGAATTATTTATAGAAAATGCTCGGCGATTTTCAAAAAGTCCATATATAAATTCCCTGAGGATTTTCTAGATTCTAGAAAATCGAATTTACAAGAAACTTGGAAATTCG